AATCTCAAATTCAAATTCAAAATCTCCTATAGCATTGAAATCCCTTTCCCAAATTGCTGGGTTATATTTGGAAAGATATGTCAATCAATCCATCCGAATATTAATTGAAAATCTTCATCAATTCCCCTTCCTAAATTAGCCTAGTGTTAATTTTGAAAAATCTGAATTCAAATTTGAATTCTCCTAAATGCATTGAAGTCCTTTCTTAAATTGTTGAGTTATATTTGGAAATGTATCCCAATCAGTAGATCTGAGTATTGATTGAAAATATGAATTAATTCCTCTTTCCTTACCCAATATGCTTTAATTGGCAACATCCGTAAGGCCTGAAATCAGCTCCCATTTAATATTTAATTATTTTTGTGCTGTATTTGCCCCCCCTCAAAATTGAAGTCGGTTTACTTATGTGCTCAACCCACTTAATTCCCAGCTCATTCCCATGCAATTACAGTTTCTGTCTCTCTTAATTGACCCTTATTATAAATCCACAAGCCATCTGGACATAAATGCTATTCCCAAATTTTAACTGCTGCCCCTATGCTTCCTTTGCCATCTACTAATGATTGTTGCTACTTCTTTGATAACTAGTACTTGCTGTTTCCTTTCCAAATTATCCCAGATAGCCGCCTGCTGTTGACATACATATCCAACCCAAAATTTGAGTCCAATACCAGCTGTTTCAGGAATTGATACCCACATAGCAGCTGTCCGGAATTCCATATGGCTTTAGAACGCTGTCCATATGTGCGAGAGGGATGCATTTTGCTGTCCTTCTCATATAGGCAACCAAACGACTTCGCCGTGGCTTAGTATCTTCTTTCATGCGGGTAAACTCTCCCCTCTCCCTCGCACCTTTTCTTATTCCCCCTCAATCGTGGCATCGTTGTATTGTAAGAACTTATCCATTTAGCCCACACCAAGAGCGTTATTAATTAATCTGTTATTTAATGGTCCTCCTATTAGTTTGTGATTGATTGGTTAAACTTGATTACCCTCTTGCATGATGAAGTCATTGCTTAAGTTCATTGTGAATTAATAATTTGCTAAGCTTTGTTAAAGTGCAAGGAATTTTCAATTCAATGTCATCAGCATATCTAGTTATGCATCATTTTGTTATCAGAGACAGGTTGCATTTATGTGCTTATTAGGATTTCTTTATTTCATGTTTTAGCATCTAAATCACATCTTACACGCATCACCTCACTTGTTTGTGTCATTATAGTATTTCTTTCTATTCTCAGTCACCCCTTTGACATAGGCTGGACCCCGAACAAATTCATCGGACCCTAGAGCTATTGGTAGGTCAGATGAGCACAATCAATCAACAACTTATGGAAAATTAAGCTGATATTGCTGAGCTCTATTGCCAGACAACAAAAGAATTTGACACCTTAGACTGAGCTAGGAATCACCTGTCACCTTACACACCATGTAGGCCTCCTTCAATGTATGAGGATGAAACCGTATCGGATCTCCCTTGCCCCTTATCGAGCTTTCCAATATGGCCATGACTATAACCATGACCCTGATGCACCACTATTGAGAAATATTAAGGTCGATGCCCCCACTTTTGATGGTACATTTGATCCCCAGCTCTTTCTGGATTGGATCAAGGGCATGGATAACTTTTTCAAATGATACAATACATCTGAGGCTAGAAAAGTTAGATTCGCCGAGATGAAGCTCATTGATAGGGCTAGCCAATATTGGGCCAACCTAGAAAGCCTTAGGGACTCCCGCAATGAGTTCACTATTATTGATTAGAATTCTATGAAGTGCGAGCTCAAGCAGAAGTACCTTCCTCCCTCGTATTTCCCTAAGCTTATGGATAAGTGGAATAGGCTGACTCAGGGTAGTAAACCTTTAAAAAATTACATTGCATCTTTTGACGATTTCATGATTCTCTGCAAGGGTGAGACCTCGACTACCCCCACCCATATCTTATCTATGTTTCATACCAGGTTGCGTGAGGATCTCCGCAACGAGCTGTTTCCTCGGAGCGTCACTACACTAGAGAGTGCATACAACCTCATCTTAGACCTTGAGGAGGCCCGATCACTGCATCCTGGTCGACATCAGGATGCTAGGCCTCCCTACAGATCCTCCAACGGATTGACCCCACAGCACTCTGCTATATGGCTGACTTTCGGGAGCATTAGCTGGCCACCCTCGGGTCTTCCTTCAACCCGTCCTAATTTCAGTGGCAAGTCACCACCCCAGATACATATCGGTCCCACCCAAGGATCAAATGCTTTCGATGCCAGGTGTATGTGAATATCTCTCTCAGTGCTCTAGTCTTTACAAGGTCACAATTATTGAGAAAGTCACTGAGGATGAGCTTGAGCCCGAGGCTGATCAGATTCACCAGGTTGACAATGATGGTGAATTCTTTGAGGAAGATGACGACACTGCTGTTGTCCACTATATCTAGAGGGTAGACACTTCTCCCATTTGCGTGGTGAGATGTGCACTGTCATAGCCCGTTACCATTGATGATTGGCGTAGGACCTCGAGTTTCAACACTTACACCAAAATAAATGACAAAGTTGTAAATCCATTGTGGATATTGGCAGTTGTATCAATGTTGTCTTCTTCAGCATGGTGTTTAGGCTTAGTTTTTCTGTAGTTCCTCACCCTAGTCCCTATAAGGTAGCTTGAATCAACTCCACTGATTATAAGGATAACGTGTGGTGTGATATTCTGATCATGGATGTGGGACAGATCATTCTAGGGCGCCCTTGGATCTTCGATAATGACATCCACATCTATGGACATTTGAACACCTGCGTATTTGAATATACGGGCAAGAAGATCAAGCTTCCACCTATGCAATCCAAGGCTAAGGATGATCCCAAGCCCAATCCAGTCAAGCCCAAAAAGGGGCTGAACCTTGTGAAAGCTAAGGTACTAGATTCTGATTTAGCCCAATGCGCACCCATGTTTGCCTTGGTAGGTTGTAAGGCTTCCCCTGATTCTGATGAGCCCATTCCTCAAGAGGTCCAGCCCATACAAAATGACTTTGCTGATATTTTTCCTGAGGACCTTTCTGAGCAGCTGCCTCCACTAAGGGACATTCAACACGCTATTAATTTTATCCCTGGAGCCTCCTTCCCGAACCCGCCACACTATTGCATGAACCCCACGGAACATGTCGAATTAAAGGAGGTAGATGAGTTATTGCAGTGAGGCTTCATTAAGAAAAGCGTCAGCCTTTGTGCTGTACCAGCCCTTCTCACTCCAAAGATGGATGGTACTTGGCGGATGTGTGTTAATAGCCGCACTATCAACAAGATCACCGTCAAATATTATTTTCCCTTCTCGAGGTTAGACAATATGCTTGATATTATGTCAGGAGCCACTCAATTTTCAAAAATCGATCTTAAGAGTGGGTACCACCAGATCCGGATCCGACTCGGTGATGAGTGGAAGACTACCTTTAAGACCAAGGATGGTCTGTATGAGTGGATGGTCATGTCATGCGGGTTGAGTAATTCCCTGAGTACATTCATAAGAGTCATGACATTGGTGTTGCGACTTTTCGTTGGTAAGTTTGTTGTTATCTACTTTGACGACATCCTTATCTATATCCGTTCTGTGAATCAAAATCTTGACCACTTGAGACAGGTCTGTGAGGTCCTAAGGAAGGAGCAACTATGCACTAATCCTAAGAAATGCACCTTCTTTGTCGACCGTGTTATTTTTCTGTGCTTTATTGTTTCAACCCAGGGCGTCTCTGTAGATCCTGAGAAGGTTCGAGCCATACTTGATTGGCTTGATCCTCGGAACATTCGGGAAGTTCGCAGCTTCCACGACTTAGCTACTTTATATAGGAAATTCATTAAGAACTTCAATACAATTGCATCTCCTATCACTGATTGTTTTAAGAAAAAGGATTTTCACTGGACCATGGCTGCCACCAAAGCCTTTGAGGAGATAAGAAAAGAATGGTGGAAGCCCGGTGATGAGACTTCCTGACTTCTCCAAGGTCTTCGAAGTTACCTATGATGCTTCGGGTGTTGGAATTGGAAGAGTGCTGTCCCAGGAAGGGCATCATATTGCCTATTTCAGTGAGAAACTGAATGACATCTGATAGTGCTATTCCACGTATGACAAAAAGTTCTATGCCGTGATCTAGTCTCTACAATATTAGAGACACTACTTGCTATCGCAGGAGTTTGTTATCTTTTCGGATCACAATGCTCTTCGTTATATCAACTCCCAAAAGAAGTTGAATGCATTCCATGGCCTTTGGGTAGAGTTCTTATAGGAGTACACTTACACCCTTGGGCACAAAGCGGGAGTTGAGAATAAAGCTGTCGATGCCCTTAGTCATCGCATGATGACTACCACTGAGATGAGGGTAGAAGTCATTGGGTTTGAGCTGGTCAGAGAGGATTACTTGGAATGCCCCAACTTCAAGGAGATTTATTCCCTCTTGTCCACAAGCAGCGAGCGCCTTGTGGATGATTTTTTCTTTAAGGATGGATATTTATTCAAAGCTCTAAATCTTTGCATTCCATGCACTTCCTTTAGGAAATTCCTCATTTGGATACTTTGATGCAAGCAAACTAAATAGGAAAAGCCATATAAGGAGAACGATGGGCAAAACTATAACCAAACTCGATTCAAATAGTAGCAATCATCTATAACATCAAAACCAACGGATAAAACGAGAAGAGAGATCAAAAGAAACAAAAGACACCATTGCAATAATTTATTTAGTATGATTCATTCTATTTGAACATTATTTATTTGACGGAACATGTTTTCCATTGTTTTTTTTTTTTGGTGGCTTAATTCTGCTAATAACATATTGATTTAGAGGGATCACTAAAGCAGCTTTATCTAGCATTTCTATTTTCAATCAAAATACATTAGTAAACATGCTTTCTATGAATTTTACCCATGCAACTTGTCAATTTGATATGACACTAACATGTTCATTAAAGGAAATTCACTTTAAAAATTTCTAAATTTTTTTCTGCACTGGTATTTTGCAGCCAATCAATGATCTAGATTTTCATCCACAAGGCACAATATTGGTATCTGGAGCAAAAGACAATACCATAAAGTATGTCTAAATTTGGTTAGAAAATTTAGAGACACCAGCTATCAGTGCTGTGACATTGAATGGGTGCAACTTTTCTGCAAACATACTTCATAGCTTATATCTATGCCCGATCTTTTTTTGAATTATTGGCATCAATTGCTACTCTTGTTTCCTGCGTGGATGTCAGTTTGCACTCCTTGTTTCTGCATTTATATTGATTTCTTCAAAGAAAAAATTTAGAATTTGGAGAAAAATTAATATATGTGCTGCCTAGTATATTCAAGAATAGTTACAATCTTAAAATTTGGCATTATCAAATTTCTAAGCATGTTTATAGTATGTTGCTGGAATTTTGTTTAATATAATTATATTTATAAACAATAATATGTAGAGCACGGGCAAATGTACATATAATATAGTGTGGTTAAATTTCACCTTGAATTTAGGAAAGTTTCATATAAGAAGGTTTTGAATAGTCAAAAGACTCTAACTGCACCCTCAAATAAGGTATTTGCTTCCACCCAATATTATAATAAAAAAATCTTCAAAATCAACCTCTCATCCTGCATTTTGCCTTCCGTGCATTTCACTCTTTCCCTCTATGTTCTTTGTATCATCCATATTTCTCTGAAGGAGTTCAAATTTTATTTTCATTGTTCTCTCCGTATGATGATGTCATCTCTCACTAGAATGATTCATGTGCTCTATAGACAATGCCTTATTGTTAATTGTCGGCCTACTCTTCTCCCTGCAAATTGTTGCATCAATCTCCAATTGATAAATAATATTAAATAGTTTTTTAAATTTCAATTTTCAACCAATATGAAATTTGGAAGGGCTAAAGCAAGGCCTCAATCATTTTCACTGAATCACATCAATAATTCTCATTTAAATTTAAATGAGAATTTGACCCTTAATAGGGCACAATGGAAAAAAAAGATTCATATAATCAACCCGACATAGTGGGATAAAAGGTTTGATGTTATTGTTGTTGTTGGCATCAAGGCTTTGTTGACTTAGAAGGCCAACATGGGAGTGACAATTGAGCTAAAATGTTTGATGAAATGTTGATATTAGGACATTTCCATGAAAGCTCCATACATTTGAAGAAGATTGAGTAGGCCAGTCCAAAATAATTGTGATATTTTCTCTATCCATCATGATTCTTTTACGAGAAATAACATATCTTTGAAAGTTAATCTTGCTTGCCAAGAACACACATTTGTTTGGATTGGCATTCAACTTTTATTGTTGCAAAATTCCTGAGTTTTTCTAGTTATTGAAAATGTTCTTTAGGGTGCAACTATATGACAAGGCATCCTCATAGTATAGGACGAGCTTCCCAGTGAATGATTGATAAACTTGCATCATTTGAAGGTGTTGAGTGCGTTGGTGAGTCCGAATGTCATTACCATCTATTCTTATCGGCCATACCTTAATTTGAATGCCATATTCAACTTGCCCTCCATTTGTTTCACAAATTTGATGTTGCCTTCTATATTTATTAATGTTGGAGTAAAGGAACACCTATGAAGTTGGTCAAAAAGGTCATCCAATTTTATCAAGAAGCAATATTTGATGGTGATCTCATCACAGTTCGGTTGTCAATGCACCTTCATCAAGCGCCATCTTTCCTTCTAATTAGCATGGCGGGTATAACACAAGTATTGACGCTAGCATTAGACATTTTCCAAAGAGCTCTTCCATTTTTCATAATTCTTCATACTCCTTTGATCATATTTAGTACTCAGGTCGATGTGGAATAATCGCCTTTACAGTGAAATTTATCAGATGTTGCTCATCACGCATGGAAGGAAAACTTGCAGGGTGTTCAATGGACAACACATCTTGTTACAACATTAGTTGTACCTCATTTGACGCATGTTCTTAAAATTTCGTAAGAATCGCCAAGTCAAACGTGGACTCTAAGTCTAGCTTGACCCTCATGAACATAGAATTGGGCACCATTGCGACCTCTGTGAACCCTTCTTTAGTTCTTAATTTAGTGGCATAAGTACCACCTGTTTCCATCATGTTCCAATGTGTATGTATTCTTGTACCCATCATGATGAGTGTACTTAACATATTGCCAAAGCCTTCCTAACAACAAATGGCATGCATCTGCTGGAATATTGTTGCCCCATACACTATTTAGATGTTTCTTGTCAATGGAAAATTGAACGAAGCAATGCTTTCCCACTTTGATTTTGTTTTCCTTCCTAATAAAGCTTGTAGGGTCTTCGATGATGTTGCATTAGAGGGTTAAATTTTGTCACCGTTCTTTTGAAAAATATGTTCTTATGGCTTCCTTCATCGATGATGATGGTGCAAACCTTTGTTTGGATGGTGCATTAGTATGGAAGATTTTGTGTCCCTCCCACTCTGATTTTTCTTTAATGAAGACATTCAACACTTTCCAGATAATAAATAACTCTGCTTCGACCATATTCAAGTATTCTTGTTCGGATATATTTTCTTTTTCTTCACCATTTTCTTGGGTCGCTTCTTCAATAGGTGTAAAGTTTAATTTCTTGTAAACTGGAAAATTAGAAGAGATTTGTATGAACCAAGACACCTTAAACATCTATAGGGTTGAGCATTTTAGATGGAATACTTTCCTTATTGTTGTTTTAAGTTTGGAACTAGTTGGACAGAACATTTTGTAACAGAACTCGATTCGTCCATTTACTTGAATCATTGCCGAATTTATTAGGATCTTGTATGGATATTGGCTGAAAATTCTTTGAGGTCTATTGTCAACTTGTCATGTTTCCACCTTTATGGCCACCTTGATAATATTATAAATGATCCAATATTGTTAAAATTGAACCAAAGATTATAGTATCCTAACCACCCAAGAATTGTGCATTAGTGTGCTGTTTTGGTTTTGAAACTTCATACTTCAATTGTTCAGATTCAGTGGTGTATTATTCCACTGTCAACCCCTAAATTATGAAGTTTAATGAAGACATCTTGATGAAAATGAATAGGAAGATACCTCATTGTAACTCTTTCTTTATCTTCTTCCATGTGATGATCTTGCACTTGCCTTCATGATTCCAATTTCTTTTAAGATTCTCTCACCAAGTAGACCCTTTCTTTTTTAACTTAATGACCACCAACTTGACTTGTTGATTGAGTGGCACTTCTTTGTTATCAAAGATGCACGTTATGGTGTGTAAACAACTGATGAAGTTATCTGGACACAAGCCACCTTCAAAATTCAAGATATCTACCTTCAAAAGTTTGATGATGCTTTCTTGGTTTTCTTCTTGGAGACAACTGTTTGTGCTCCTTGTATCATACTTATTAACGGTGAATATCTCACCATGTCACAATGTTTCATATGGAGTCATAACACAAATCATATAGCGCAGCACGCTCCATCATAAACATGGCACATAATTTTAAATAATTATAAATAAAAATGTGTTAATATGAAATACTATTAAATTGAAAAAAAATCATCATTATAGTAAAAATAGTTAAAGTGATGCTTATGTTCAATTAATAAATGCCTCAATCATTAAAAATTCAAAATGTTATAATCAACTTTTATGTCTATTTGCTTGGTAAGGACAACAAGGTTTTTGAGCTCCTCAAGTAGGAGAAGATAAAGTTTCAGAGTTTCGATGTGCTTTTCGATGAAGAAGCAAGGTGGAGTCTTAAAACTTTTTCCATTTGGTCTACCTTTCCCTAGTTTTACATAAAAGGCGAGTTAATTGGAGGATCTGATATAGTTCTTGAGATGCATACGAGTGGAAGGTTAAAGAAAGTTCTTGCAGAGAAGGATATTGCACGTCAAAGAATCTCTCGATCTTCGGTTACCATAGCCTTGAATTTCTTGTTAACATTGGCACAAATAAAATGTGGTGCTGAGATGCTTCATTCAGTCAATCTTTTCCCTTCTCTGAAGGTTTTATTCAATCATGTGGTGGATGAACAAAACCTAATTCTAAAGTGGGTTGTTTCTCCACTAACTATGACAAAAATAACATGCAAGCACACTTATTGTGTTACACAATTGCAATAATCTCCTCAGATCCACGAACATCATTGGCAGTTGATGCTATCAAATATTTCTGTATTTTTATTTTTATTCGAACAATAGTATGTTTTATGTTCTTTTCTTTTTTTAGCTATCTAATGATGGGTAAGCATCCAATGAACATGGTAGGTTGTGCATGGGGCTTGGTAGACCTTTGGTTTGCTGGCTCGATTGGTCCTTGACTGCTGCTGGTTCACGGGTTGGATGTTTTGGGGCCTATGGTGATGTATGGAGTAGGTTGGAGTTGAACTCATTCTCTTAGTTGCTTGAGCTGATGTCTAGTAGCTCATTAATGTTCTAAAGGTAAGCTCATAAAGTTGGATTCAATTTTGGAGTGGACTTGTCCCTTCTCCTTCTCCTTTCTTCTTGTCTCTTGGGAAACCGTGGCTTGTTTTTGTGCTGGCTGAATTCCGTGGTTGGCTGCTGTTTCCGAGCATTGTCTCCTTGGTTCCCACGGTGGCTGTTGGTTTTCCGAGCTGGGGGTTTTCCCGTGGCTTTTGATGCCTTGGTTCCGTGCGGTTCCTTTGGTTCCCGTGGTTGCTCCTTCGGTTCCTGAGCTGGGCTATTTTCCGTAAAAAGAAAATGGGGAAATTCCATGATTTGATGCTTAGGTTATTGTAGAAATTAATTAAAGTTTTTGTTGGTATTCTTCTATCTTGCCTATAAATATGAGATGTTTTTGTAAAGAAGAGTAGTTGATTATTGTTGACTTGGAAGCATCTGTTGGAAGAATTAGACGATCTTGCAGTGGTGGACCATCGGTTTGCTAGCCTTATGCACTTATCTTATTTAACCTACAATTCGATGCATGTGAGGAACCCGCTCTGACGGTTGTCTGAAGATAGCGTTGTTTTTTTATTTTCTTTATTTCTTAAAAGTCTCTTCGTGTTTTCTTGTTGGATTTTGAGTGTTTTAGTTGATTACTTCTATTTTAATAGAGTTTGGTTTGAGTTCTATCCATTGTTCTCTTTGT